ATAAAGCTATAGATTAAATTTATACCTTTTCAACATAGTCAGTGCCCACCCATCTACTACAATATCTTGCGTGGCAGCCAAGACATTTAATGCAAAAAATATAATAGTCAGCATTTCTATATTGGGGTTTGTGGTTTTATTACCCAGCCATTGGTCTACACGACTGGACAATAAAAGCATAAAGAATCCCATTAAATACTGAGTTGGAATTAACCATGTTTTCCTCCTTCCAAATTTTTGAGAAAATGTGGAATCTACTATTGGTGCCCAGAAGAGTTTCAAAGAAAAAGGCCATTGGACAAAACTGAATTCAGCCTAGTAATCAAATAATATTTGTATAATTCAAGTTTAATCTATCAAAAGTTGTACGTAATAAACAGAACCTCGCGCAAATTACCTGTTGACGATACGAAACGTTTCGGTTCTGGAGTAACATAGGAATAGAACCACATAAACCCAATGGTATTCCTTGTAATAAATATAAAAATAAAAGTATTGCTATATTCTTCTCGTCGCCCCGTAAGTCCGAGCGTTCATGCACGTGATTCGTTTCGTGGACTCCATCCTCCACAGTGCAATCTCTTTCCATTTTCCTTTTGGTAGCCATACAGAATGATAAAAGAGATCAGCTAAAATCTCTTATCAACGAACTTTCCACAAAAGTACAGCTGTTCCTTTTACACTGGCGTCAAGGACCGAACTTTTAATGTTTACTTTTAATTACACTATTAAACATTGCGGACGCTAGATCTCATAATTAACAATACGCTATCCTAAATTGCTTCAACGTAGATCTTCCAATTAAATTATAAATAAACATTCTTAAACGGAAGAATCACGCAACCGAATAAATTATTTATACTGACTGAACTATCACTGTTGACGTGGTTAATACTGTCATTACCCACATATAACCTTCACTTACAGCATGTAATATAAATTACAACACGATACCGTAATTGTAAAAGAAATTGACAGACGAAACTCTGTCAGAATAAATTTATATTTAAATATGTTACAGACGACAATTATTAGACGGCATTGAAAATTATGTCGTTTTTATTAACGTAGCTAAAAATCGTGTGCAGAAGATGCCACGTTGTTCCTCATTAAAGACACGTCAGTTCGTCAGTTCAATCGTATATATGTACACACAACTTATATG